AACACCTCACCACATGCATTACAGAATGTCTGTTCATCAAATCTGAAATAACTGTGTTACATGCGTTGTGAAGTGGATTGTCAGAAACATATAACATGTTTTTAAAAATCCAGCACACGCATTACAGATGGGTATCACTTCCACTCACTGAAATAATTATGTGCTGAACTCCTCCTCCAAGTAGATTGTTAGCAACATCTTACTTGATGGTGTGGTACTGAACACTTGACTACAAGCAGTGAAGAGTATGTGGTACTTCCCTCCCCTGAAATCACACTGTGCTGACCGCCACCTGCCTGCCGGTCGCTTGTCAGAAACATCGGTACTAAATGTGTCCTTAAACACTTCACTACCGGCATTGCAGAGTGGCTACCACTTCTGTTCACTGAAATAACGCTGTTCTGAATGCATATTGCAAATACATATTTTTTAAAACATCTTTAAAAAATGTATGCTTAACACATTACTATATGTATTACAGAGTATCACTTCCATGCATTAAAATAACACTGCTTTGTCCTGGCCAGGTGGGTCAGTTGATTGGAGCATCATCGCATTAAAAGGCTGCAGGTTCGATTCCTGGTCAGGGCATGAACCTGAGGCAAACTAATGGTGTTTCTCTCTCACACTGATGGCTCTGTCTCTGTCTCTCTGTCAAGTGATTTATTTCCTGAAAGACATGTCAAATTTTGTCTTAAAAAAGTTTATATTGTTCAAAGTTTGTATAGAAATTGTCTTAAATCTCTGATCTTTAAACATCTCTAACCTCATCACTGATCCCGGCACGAGGAAGAATCTTGCCGTGACTCACAGGCAGTAACTGCCGAGGGCACTAGCGCCTCTATCCTCGGTAGTCCTGTAAATGCACGGCATTCTGCGTCTCATCTGCTGAAACCCTCTGTTTACGTCACTGCCTAGCCTGACTTCAGCAGGCCCATAACACTTCTTCATAGAAAATGCTGTCTGCCAACACATTTATTTCACAGCATCATTAGCATATAAAGGTTGCACAGAAATGAATTTTCCACAAACATGAAATGCTCTTTTAAACACAAAAACTTAGTATTTTAACCTAAAGAGTATCCCATATATTTAAAAAGGTAGAACTACAAAAGCTGTGATAGAAAAATATATATATGTGTAAAATACGAGGCAGAAAATTGCTAACTCCGCTTCTGCGAGGCCACCAGTAGTAACGCTTTCTACAGACGAGGACTCCGAGCCACGGCCGCAGCGTCCAGGCCCGGGTGCTCAGCCGCAGCTCCTCCCAGGGCACGTCGGCGCGGTGCGATGATGCACTTGGGCACCGTGAGCTGCCTACTGCTCTTCGGACTGAAGAAGTGTGTTCTGGGTTTCCTTTTTCTTTTTAAATGGCTTCCGCATCTCTTCTCTGCTGGGCATCCCATCTGCCGTTTTTATGCCTCCCCTTCTCTTTACTGAGGCTAGAGAATCAAATAGTTGAACTTTAATCACTTTTACAATAAATAAAAATGAAGGTATTGTATTAGTACCTTTTTACATTTATTTTGCCCACCAGACCAAGATATTTCTTCATTTAGTGTCTTCATTGATCACCTGTGAGGCTATTAGGTTTCTGGAAAGCAAACTCCTGACAGTGAGCCATTACCTTACCGACGGAACTTTAGGACAAAAGGCAAAATCTTCAAGGCATTTGACTAAGCTGCTTTTCAGGTCCACTGTTTAATACCAATGTTGAGACTTCAGAGTCTATCAAAAGGTCATGTGTAATTGTACTGCCACGCATTTTCGTGTTACTGCCCAGTTCTCTAGCACCTCACAGTGATGCGCAGTTTCCTAAAGCTATCCTTATTTCCCTCTTCAAAGTGACCACTCTGGCACCTTCCAAGGAGAATGGGAATGTTATGGTCACCATCTCCCTTAAGCCACTGTTATCCACCAATGAGACCTGTGCTCCAAAGTAAATGTGGCCCTTCCTACGACAAGCATTTACCCAGGGACCACATACATCCACGCACAGGGTGTCCATTTAAGAAAAATCAAAGTTCCCTGATACATGGAGATTTGTTATCACTGATTTCTTTCAGTTATAGTTCTGTGTATATGTAAAACAAAACATTTTGACAGGCTGGGTATTGCATAAGAAGCCAGACTTTCTTTGTGATATGCTTATTTCTTCACATAAAATCATAAGCTTGTGTTTTGTTTACTGTATCTTGACTTTTGTATCATAAGGTTTAATTTAAGGAATAATTTCAGCAGACAAACCTGAACTCTAAAATTGTAATATTCCTGAAAACATTTCTCAGAACTTTGTTTGTAAAACAGAAAACAAGGAATCAGAGGGGTCTTTAAAAATTGACAACAAGCCCTGGCTGGTGTGGCTCAGTGGACTGAGCACCGGCATGCTAAGCGAAGGGTTGCTGGTTCCATCCCTGGTCAGGGCACCTGCCTGGGTTGTGGGCCCGGTCCCCAGTTGGGGCACGTGCGAGAGGCAGCTGTGTGGGTGTTTCCCCCACACATCGTGTTTCTCTCCCTCTCTTTAAAAAAAAATGCCCCAGCCTCCTCACCTGGCCCTTACAGGGCTGGTCGGCCGGGTCACGGGGAGCAGAGTAGGTGATCATTTAGTGTGGAAGAAGATGATGAATTTTTGGAGAAAAAAACATTCCAGCATCATTGTACAGAATTCATCAAACATTCACAGCAGATAGGTGATGCTTGGGAATGGAGAACCTCAAAGAATCACAGCTAAAGCCCCAAGCTGGAGACAAGAGTCTCTAAGTAGCCCATTTTCTATATTTGGATTGCTATGAATAATCTGGTAGCCACTGGAGCCAGAAGCCTGCAGTTCCTGCAGACTGCTCTGAGGAAACATTCCTGGAAGATTGGGGTCCTCCGTCCCACCAATATGAAAATAAGACTCAGCAGGGAAATGCAGAGTTAGTAATGAGAGATGATGCCCTCCCCTCCCAAAGCCCCCCTTCCTTCTCCAAAAAATCAACTGTAGAGTGTGGGGTGCCTTCAAGTCAGCAGGAGTCCACACATTGGCCGGACCCATTCTGCTGACCTGTGACAGGCCCAGCTGGTGTCTGCGGGGCTTGCTCTGACCCTGCAGTCAGCGCAGGATTGTCCGGGAGCTGGCTGGACTAAGACGGCCTCAGTGGGGTGACTGGCTTGGTGCCATGCTCCAGCAGGCCAGCCTGAGCTTGTACTTGCGGTGGCGGTGGTAAGGGTCCGAGAGAAGAAAGTAGACACACTCAAGCTCTTTTCTGGACCTCTACTTGAGTTTTTCTTGGGGGCCAAGCTTAAAGTCAGTGTGGGAGGGTACTACCAAAGGCCAAGGGTACAGGGAAGTGTGAAAAACTGGGGTCGCTAATGCAATCAGTCTGCCACATTTACCAGGTGGGAAAGGAGCTTCCACACAGGAGAGCTAAGTGTAGTTATTAGAAAAAATAAAACCATTTCACATTTATACTCCGAGGGGTAGAGACCCCAGAATCAACAGGTTACAGCTGATTTGGATCATTTCATTGGCTCCTAAGCAGGAGACTGTTTCTTCTGTATGCTCTTCCCAGTGTATTGAGTTTAACAGAAATCATTTTTTAATGATCCTGGTATATATTTCATCTCCATAATAAGTAAATAGGTGGTATCTAAATTTGATACATCAGGAGAAAGCTTTATACATAAAATGGATATAATCTGGAGATGAATGCCAGGAGACAGACATATAAGGCAAGTTGCAAGAGGCAGCCTCTGGGTAGGCTGGCCAGAGCATGGAGAGGGGAAAGGGGCTGATTTTTGGTGTGTGTCTTTCTGTGCTATTTGGTTTTCATGCTGTGTGCTGTGTTACTGTGATTAAAGTGAGTAATAATATTTTTAAAAAGGAAAGTCCAAGTGAAAGTACCATCACTGTGCTGTTATTTACATGTAATATTTCATTTAATTTAGTGTACCCAGTATCCCTGTGAGTTAGCTATTGTTACTTCTACTTCGGGTGAGACATTTAGTCTTAGCGAAATGACTTGTCCAAGGTTGTAGTCTTTACGTGAGAGGCAGGGTCAAGATTGAAACTCAGGTGTGTCTGCTTCCAAAAAGTACTGTCTTAAATCCTAACCTGTAGTTTAATTTTGAATTCATCCACTTAGCAGCTGAAATTTAATCCACTCCAATCCAGAGGCCCACACTATTACACAGTCAGAACAATGGAACTGGAACATATGTATTTTTCCCCGCTAATAAACTTCAGTTGCTTCTTTAAAAAAATGACATGGTCTCTGTTACTTGGGGAAAAAACCATTTGAGCATTCTGCTGGCTGGATTGACAATATATATCCAACAAACATGTGAGTGCCTTTATTACCAGCAGCAGGCCAGGGCTGGGCACACACAGTTTAATAAAGACACACTTCCTGCTTAAGCGAAACTACAGTTTGGGGTCGTAGGGCACAGCCTTTGAGCATTGAGTACAATGTAAATAGTAACTAACAAACGGATGTGTGGAGCTGTGCTCAGGGTTCTGGGCGTCTCAGGTGAAGCCACCTTGGCTGGGAGGGTGTTTGGTTGGACCGAGAGGACTTCATAGGATAAGCCGTGGCTTCCTAGTGCTGGGGTTAAAGTATGGGCACAAGAAACATCACGGGGCATCGTGTATGGTCGGGCCTACCGAGAAGCTGAGGATAAGGTCTCTTTTCTTCATCTGATAATTCTGGTGGGTTTTTTTTCTTTTCTTTCTTTCTTTCTTTCTTTCCTTTCTTTCTTTCCTTCTTTCCTTCTTTCTTTCTTTCTTTCTTTCTTTCTTTCTTTCCTTTCTTTCTTTCTTTCTCTCTCTCTCTCTCTCTCTCTCTCTCTCTCTCCCTCCCTCCCTCCCTCCCTCCCTCCCTTCTTTCTTTCTTTCTTTCTTTCTTTCTTTCTTTCTTTCTTTCTTTCTTTCTTTCTTTCTTTCTTTCTTTCTTTTTTTGGTTGAATAATAAAAGAATTCCCTTGGAGCAAAACGGCTTCAAAAGAATAGATGTGAGGTGTGAGATTTAGAATCCTTTTTATTACACTTATCTAGAAAAAATCACTGAAGAGCTAATATTCAAATTAAGTCAGATGATTGTTTAACCTGAATATTTTAGTAGAGAAGGAAGACCTGCAAATAGATTGAGAAGCTATGTTTTAAGGTAGTCCAAATATATACTGTTAAAGACTACTGAGACATCCGAACTTTTCAAATGAATGGTTTCCTCATTTTTCACCATTAGCCCACTCTGCCCTGCCTCCCACTCCCATTGTACATGAAGAGATTTTATCTGCCAACCACATTGTCCCTCTTTTTACCACAGCTGAGACCATCAGAGCTCTGATCAGCATAACTTTGAGTTAATTCTGAGACAACAAAGGAAACTGTAGATCTAGTAAGTGCAACTTTACCATCCCTGTGTTTCTAGCAGGATTTCTTTAGCTTTTATAATAGACTGAAAACAGCCCCTGGCCCCTTTGTGGGGGTTTAGAGGACTCAGTTTGGGGGCTTCTTTTTGAATCTTTTGGTCCATTAACGTCACATTTCCACTGTGTTCACAGGTATTTAGCGGCTCGGGGATGAAGTACTGGATTGAGGTAAACCTAGATGTACATCCAGTAACTGTCATCATCTCCTGACAGCCTCAGTCACTCCATTCTCTAGCTCCCTTTCTTATTCGTACTCGACATTGTTGGGGAAAGGTGCTATTAATGAAAAGTACAGCCAACATGCATAAAGAAAAATATGAGAAAATGTTTTAAAACGTGGCATATAACAATGAAGAACTTCGATATATAAATTGTTCTAATCAAAACTGTTACTGCCTGTATGTTCGTTAACGAAAAGTAAACAAATGTGAACCTTGCTTGGTTGCTGTCCCATTGAGACACCCAAAAGTTCAGTAAAAATAACATTTGAGAACCTTAAGTCCTGTTTTGTGAATGTCGCGGGTCTGAGCTGTCAGTTACTCAACTCCAGCCTGAACCACCATCCAGACAGTAGTCAACGATCACAACTGAGCTCCTAAGGACAGCCGAAATGAACCTTATGCATCAGCTCTCAACTCCGGTGCATTTATTGTTTTCCATTCCATGTAGGAAAGCCGTGTACCTACTTGTGATTCCGGTCAATCTCTTGATTTTTTTTTTTCCTTAAATACAACTGCTATTCTGTTGAAATTTTCAGATATCTCTGGACAAAAGTAGTTTGTAAAGTTTATTAAATAGGCGTATGCAAATCTCAGCAATGTTGAGCCAAAGGGCCCGCCCGCTCTTCTCCGTGGGAATCAGATTCAGCCCTGCTGAGTCCAAAACATCTCGCAGTTCGGAATTTCCCGCTGACCTCCGACCCGCTAAAAGCAGAGGCCTTCGATCCCTAGTCCGCCCCAAACCCTCCCAAGTCCGGGCTGCAGAGGAGTGCCGGCACGCTCGACGTTCAGCTACCCCGGCCTCCGCTACCAGGTGACCGCACCAGTGGGCGCTGGTTGGAGGTGCTGGGCCACGGCCCACCTCGGGCGGCCGGGTTCCCAGACTCTGGAGGTTCCGGCCTCTCCGCAAACGTCCTGACCTGGCGTGTCTCCGGCGCGGTGAACGGGGGCAGCATGGGCGGTCGTGGAGTAGGGGGCGGTGCCGGCAAACCTGGGGCGCACGGAGAGAGAGGTGCGCAGGTCTTGGAGCAGCATGGACCAGGGAGAGAGCTGTGACAGAACCTAGAGCGAGAGGCGAGCAGGGCGTGAGTGAGTGGGGCCGACGGTGGCCTACTTCTCGCGAAATTTAGACGGGAGGGAGGCGGCCGCGGATCTGCGGCAGTACGGGATGTACTCAGAGGAAGGGACCGGCAGCCACGGGGTGGCGGCTGCTGCACAAGGGCGCACGCGGGAGGGAGAAACTGGGGACCACGTCAACGCAGTTCCGCAGGGGGTATCCGCGGGAGCGTACCCAGGGGTGGTCCTCAGGTTGTGGTGCAGCGCAGGCAAACCTCGCGAGAGGAAGCGTAAGATCCCAAAGCGCTGGGGCGGGGTAGGCGGAGCCGAGCTGGCAAACAGGGATGGAAGAGGAGGGCCTCAGCAAGCGGGGCGTGGCAAGGACGGGGTGGTGCGGTCCTAACGCACCCGACGTGGACGGTCCAGAGCGAGACAGGGGTGGAGCGAAGGAAGAGGCGCAGTGGTCTGATGGGAGTGTGGGACACCCAGGGGTGGGACAGCGACGGGAGGGTTGGAGCTAAGGGTCGTGCGTTCTACTGTGGTCAAGGGCGGGGGCAAAGGAGGGCGACCGCTTTCAGCACCAAGGACAGCAGCGAGGGGGCTGTTCTGGTCGGGGGCAGCGCTACCTCGAGCAGTGCGGCCGCCGCACACCAAGTACTTTTCTGATTAGGAGAGGAAGAAAAATCTTTTCAGCCTGTGGAGGTGGAGATGGCCGGTTGAGGCAGAGACGCTGGATTCACTATCGCTGGGTGGTAGCTGTCCATACTGTCGAGGACCGGGCCTGAGGAGGCAGGCACGAGGGCAGCTGCTCAGCGAGGGTCAGATCAGGCCCAGGGAAGCCTGGTGGCGGCGGGAGAGGACCCGCAGTGTGGACACTGGACTGGAGGCAAAATGTGTCCACTGCATTCTGCATTCCTCTTGGCAGTACGAACAGACGCAGGCAGAACTTTACTTCTGCAAGTTATTTCTAAGTAGGCAGATAATTAAATGCCTCTAAAATAGACTTGAAATATGCCTCTACTAAGCACCAGCAATTAACAACACATTACTTAATTTTTGTATTTTGGATACTAAAAACCTGTGAACACAGAGAGAAAAGGGCCCCTGACAGCAAACTGGACTAAAGTTTTTAAAAACAGATCCTATTGTCATTTCAGCCCGGGGCCTCTCAGGTGTACTGCTCTTTAGAGAGGACATTGCCTTTTGGGCCAATCAGACTGAGATTTGGAAGTCTTTATTTGCATAAGGACAGGCCAATCAGGGACCAGCAGCGGGGACTCCTGTCCATATAAACCAGCTCCCTTCTGGCACTGAGAGTGCACTTTTCATTTCTGGATTACTATGGTTCCCCATTTGAGCAGTTTCCCCCAGAACCAAGTGAAGCAGCCCAGTGCAGACGAGAGCAGACCCACGTAGAGCCAGGCAGACTGGCTCAGAGCAGAACGGAGCAGAGCAGACTGGTGAGGAGCAGCAGCACAGCTGAGCTGTTTCCCCTGAGAGGGGCCTGGCCCCAGGGCCGCCTCCGGCTGTGCTGTTTTCCCAGCCCTGCGGTATCACAGTTGAGCTGTTCCAGAGCCATGCTGCTTTCACATCTGTTTTGTATCACAGATGGGCCGTTTTGCACTGAATAAACCTTCCTTCTTCACTGCACCCCAAATTGATTCCTGTTGGCATTGAATTGGCACCGATGACCATCAGTTGACAAAAATCTTGTTTCATATAGCTTTTAAAAGTAAATTGTATTAAGATATAACAGGAAAAGTGAATAAGTGATATTTAACCTGATGAATTTTCACAAGTGAACACACCCATGTACGTAACTAACAGGAAAAAAAACAATATCCCAGACCTGAGGCTGCCCTGTGCTTGCTTTCCTCGCTGACACCCCCACCACGCCCCTCTTAAGTTGTATCTTTTTCAAGTTCATTTTACAAGTTGGTAAATAGATAACTGTGACAGCAAGTTTTACTTCCAGATCTTCATCGTATTAAAAAAGAGAAACCTGACCTCAGTTTAGACCTTCAACAGATGCTAGTTCAGCTGTGATTTAGTGATTTTCACTGTTTTCATTATCTTTATTATCATTTTTACCCTTTTTGTCTTAAATATCATAGGTTTTCATTTATGGTAGCCATATAAAGTTTCCTTTTAGCTAAGTACATTTAATTGAAAAATGTCAGTCCATTCAATGAAAAATAGGAAACTTCCACTAACAGGAAGATAGTTTTTTTTTTTAAGATGATGTTCCAATGACTAAAATGTAGGAAAACTGGTCCAGTTGGAGGACTGACAGTGGACCCAGAGTGGCTCGGCTGGGAATCCCAGTCCCGCCCTTCCACTAACTGCACCCTCTGCAAACACTTAATGTCTCTGAGCCACAGTGTTCTCTTCTGTGAAATGGGATTGAAAGTTCCTGCCTGTGAAGGAAATTAGTAGCTGTGAGAGAGCAGAGAAAGGCCTAGTTCTTCTGTAGACCCTGTACAATGTGCTACAGTAAATACTCTTCTAATACCTCAAAGTGCTCTCTAAATCAGTAAACAATCTTTTTTACAATATAACATTTTTTTCTGTGAAGGAATTGTAGTTAGGTTGTATTGCAGCCATGATGCGTGGTGAGGCATGACCTCTGAATGACCTTGCCTCTGGTTTTCAACCCCTGAGAACCAATATTTTAACTCTGACTTGTGCAGTACAAAAATGAACCTAAAGTATCTTTCTCAAGTCATTAAAAAGATCTCAGTCAATGTTTTGTTTGTCTTGGGGTTTTTGTGTTGTTGTTGGGTTTGGGTTTTTTTAATTTTGTTTCATTTTGCTAAATAATATCCAGAATGCTGTAATGTACTGATAGATAATTCTTTGGCATTAATGTTTTATCCGAAGTAGTTTGCTGTATCCAGGCAAGGGGGAAAATGGCAAAATTAAAGAAATCATATTTTTTACTAACCACTTTTACTGTTAGCTCTTACTTCAGTCTTCGTGCTCATCTACTCAGGAGCATATATTAGTTTTAGAAATCTTGGCAACATCCTTTTTTTTAGAAATCTTTTTCATGAATACATCTTCATTGACAGTAAATGGTAGGTCATTGGCTTTTCAAACTCCATGTTACAATCTCTAAGTACGTAAATCAAGTTTTGCTGGAATACAGGGTCCATCAGAATAACGCCTGCTTGAGTATGGTTGGTAGGGTGATAATATGGGTGTAATAATGTATAGTTTTAATTTGAACATTTCACCCAAAATGTCATATGGTGTGCTTGAGTGTAATATTGTTATGTTACAGAATTACATGCTTATGATTTTGTAATAAGGCGCATTATTTGTGCCAGGCCCTGTATTTGTTAGTTTTAATTAAGAAGTTCTCAGATACTAATCTAAAATGGCTTTGTAAATTTTAATGACTACTGTGATTGTGTGCTTATGTTAAAAAGTATGATTGTATATAAACCAAAAAAAATCTGGCAATTCTGTATAATAGTGAAAAACTATATATTATCATTGGAGATTAAAGTTTTTCATATAAATGAGTTTTATGGATAAGTGAACTTTACTTTTTTATGTCCCAAAACTAAATAATTTTACCAGTGCTTGATAAAAATTTCTAAAATATATTACTCACTTATGTCAGTGTCTTCCTAAACAGAGTATTCTTCATAATTATACCATTTCTGGATGATGTCACAGGCGGAGGGGATTGTAATACTGAACATCAGTTTTTGACCCTAATATTTAACAGCATTGTCTATTGAGACAATGTAATTTACCTCTAAATGTTTCTGATTCGCTATATTTTGGGGGTTCTACGTTTGATATCTTTTTCCTCCTTTCCTGTCAGACTATTGGCCAGTGTGTCCAGCTGCTATCATGTCTGTACATCTTCAACAGCATATTGTTTTCTGTACACCCCTCAGCAACCACCCTGTTCCCACTCCATCCCACCCCTACACTGATGAGTCTTTCCTTCCCCTCCACTGAGGTCACAAAAGAGACGGTGAAAGGGTGACTAGGCTGAAGCCACGAGATTTTTGCTGTGAGTACAGGCAAGTTTAATACTTGCACTATTTGAATGCTGGAACTGCTGTGTTGAATGCTCATTTTTCAGTAAATCATTAAAGTGCTTTTTTCATTCCTTTTAAAAACTTATGGTAAAATAGACATAACATAAAATTACCATCTTATTCCCTTGTAAGTGTGCAGTTCAGCAGTGCGAAGTATAATCACATTATTGTGCAAACAATCTCCAGAAACCTTTCCATCTTGCAAAACTGAAACTCTGTACTCACTAAACAACAGCTCCCCATTTCTCCCTCTCCCCAGCCTCTGGCCACCACCCTTCTTCTTTCTGTTCCTATGAATCTGAGTGCTTTAGACCCTCATAGAAGTGCAGCCATAGACTGTTAGTCATTTCGTGACTGGCTCATTTTTACTTAGCATGACGTCCTCAGGGTTCAGCCATGTTGTGGAACGTGTCTTCCAGATGAAGGAGAGTAACAACAGCATAGTCACATAGTATGCCTCACTACTCCACGAGTGATTAGCCAGAGGGCAGAGTGTTCCATATGCTGGTTAAGCATACAGCAGATTCTCTCAGTGAAGGTTGCTGTGTGTATATTCACACACACACACACACACACACACACACACACACACACACAACTACAAAACAAGCTTCTGAAGACTTTCATTCTAACTTTTATATTTGAACCAAATCTTATATGAATATTATGTACACTCTTTTAGCCAAATATCTCTGGCCAAGTAATTTCCTTGAACTTATATAACAGATGGATAATTGAATAAATCTTTAAAAATGTTTAAATTTTAAATTTGACCAAGAAATCTATTTAAAGATATTTCATCATAAATTGTTTGGTTGGGAGGAATCTGCTTTATTGAAGTGTAAGTTGCATATGGTAAAATTCACCATTTCAAGGCATACGGTTTGGTGAATTTTGAACGTGTTCAGTCACGTTACCACCACCACAATGTGAGGAATCATTCTGTTCAAAACATAATTGCCCCTCCTTCTTTTTAAATCTGGAGTTTGCCCTGACTGGTGGCTCCGTGGGTTAGGCATCATCCCATAAAAGTGAAAGGCTGGCAGTTCGATTCCCTGTCAGGGCACATGCCTGGGTTGTAGGCCAGGTTCCCAATTAGGCCATGCAAGAGGCAACTGATTGATGTTTCCCTCACATGTCGACATTTCTCTTTTTCTCGTTCCCTCTCTCTAAAAATAAATAAAATCTTATAAAAAATGAAAAATAATTCTGGAGTTTGACATGCTAAGATGCAGGTACCCAAAAGTATAATTAATTTATAGTTTAAACAATGACA